CCTTACACGACCGCAGGTCTGTGGGTACAGTGACTTCAGTAGGTTAACATACTTCTGGGGCATTCCTTTTCGAAGAAGGGGACCCATCAGAGCTTCGCGGTCAACTGAGTTGAAGGCTCCTTTCAAGTCAAGGAACACTGTGATAGTTGGCTGACGGTGAGTATGACGCAGCTCAAGGATCTGACGCAACGTAAAAATCTAATCAATACATCCACGGCCAGGCCCGAATCCGGCTTGCTGTTCGCGGATGTTGGTTTCTCTTAAAGGCGTCAGACGTCGAATTATAACCGAAGCTAGCACTTTGGTGACGATCGGGATCAAACTTATCCCGCGGTGGTTTTCACAGTTGTTGCGACATACTTTCTTGAAAATGGGAACGATTAGTGATTCTCCCCAAGATGAAGGAATGCGCTCTTGCATCCAAATGTTGCACAGTAAGGTAGTAATATAGCTTACGAGGTTATCAAGCCCCATCTTGAAAATAGTGGGAGGGAGCTCAATCAGTTCTGCTGCTTTTCCTCGCTCCAGAGCTTGAATGCGAGACCGAACTTCTGCTTCCGTTGGAGGATCGCATCACACTGCCCACGGAGCTTCAGTCGAAGATGAAGCAGCCTGGTTAGCACTAGGCCAGCTGAACTGTTCGTTGAAGTATTCTGCCCAGCGATCGAGTCGTTGATCCCTATTGTGAATAGCTTGTCCACTCTTATCGCAGACTGTTTTACTAACTGGAGTTCGTCGACCTCCCGTATTGCGTATCAGTCGGGAGAGTCTTTAACTAATTCCTTATGCAATTGCCACTTCCATTTCACTAGCTATGGTTGCCCACCAGTTCTCACGGTCCTTCCTGAGGCTCCTCGTTAGCTGACTTTGTAGATGCCGCCTAACTTTGTTTTGATCCTGGCAGGTCAGGAGTTGTCGTTTTTGATCCACCAGTGATAAAGACTCATCAGATATCCAATGCCTCCAACGGGCTCCAGGCTCAGTCCCTCAAGCAACATTCGCAGCGGAATGCATTGCTCATCTAATCTGATCCCACTGCTCATTTAAATCATCACGTTGGGGTGCGCTATGCCCACGCACTAGTTCTGACTCATAGCGTGCACGAACGGCTGGAACAGATAGTCGATGGTGAGCTATCCGAGTTTGCTGGTTTCATCGTTAACCAGTCAACCGAAGAGTGAACTGCGTGGAAATTAATGCGTGGTTAGACTCAACGAAGGTGGTCTAATAAAATCTGCAATTTTGCACTGAATCACGTCAACGGTAGCTTACTGCTATGTGGTCGATTTGAGTTACCGTACCAGCTGAACTGGAAGGCCACGTTGCCATCCGTCGAGAGCTATGTCGGAAGTTGGTGCTTGATGGGAGCAGATGATGGTCTGCGCAGAGCTGAAGAAGTCGATCGCCGTTATCTGTTCGTTGGCAGGGCAGAGCACAATTACCGCCTAGGCAAGCTTCTGATGCGCTTAGTTTTCCAACCTGCGCGTTGAAGTCACCTGCAAATACAAATATGTCGGAGCTTCGACTCGTCCGAATGAGATAGGTGAGGTCATCGTAGAAGGCATCCTTTTGGGTATCAGAACTGCATTTGGTCGGTGCATATGCTGATACGATGAACAAACACCTTTGGTGTTACTTCCTTTCCGGACGCGGATTGAACCCTGGAGACGCACTGCACATAAACGACTGTTGACGACAATCCAATCGATAAGAGAGGACTCAGCCCTATTGCTGAGTACAAAACCTATCCCGCGCTGACCTACTGAGCGGGCTTCGTCTTCGCCTGATGTGCGAAGACAAATCTGGCGCGCTCAAGTGGCTTATAGTAGGAGGATCCTGGATCCGAGTTTCCG